TTGAAAAGTGCTTAAATTCCTGTGCAAGTCCTGAAAAGTCCTTGAATTTTCTTCAACTTTGAATGTAGTGGTCTGGAAAGTGTTTTTTTAATGGTTTTTGGTTGTCCAAGACAGAATCCATAGCTCAGAGAATTTAAAGGTTATTTACATAGAGTGCGTGATGTTGTATACATTAATTAACTATCAATTTAAGACAAGTGAACTGAAAAATGTAGAGAAATTGGTGAAGCAAACAGTTCAAGCCTTAAAGCCTTATTAGAATTGACTGGGAATGCGCATTTTTGTACAATCTGTGAAATTGTATTTGTAGTAGGTGGTCCTTGAAAATCTAATGGGGTCCTTGAAAAGTCCTTGAAAAATGGCTGCAATTTTTTGTATGAACCCTGACCTAGTGCTCGTCCCAAAGGTGTCTGTCTTAGAAAGAGTTGACTGGTTAAGATAAATTTAAGATGTCTGTCCAATTAGCACCTCATGAGTTGATCTGCAGATCAGTACTGTTTGTGATAAAGCAATGTTTATAAGAGCCACTTTTGAAAGTTTTCATGGACGTGGTCTGTGGAATTATCAATGGCTTTGTGTAAGTTAGAGATGTTTAACCTTGCTATAAATGCTGATGACCTGTTTTATTTCTTTAAAATTTTTGAAGTTATGAATATATGAAAATCATGGATGAAAACTGCAGGGTGAAGAATTACATGAAAGATGATCTTCTTTCAAAATTCTTCACCCTGTAGTTCTAATATATTATTTTCATATATTCATAACTTTGTTATCATCCTTTCATGGCTTTATAACGAACCAATTCAACGACCTGCAACCAGTTGGCTTGTTAGCTCAATTAGCAGAGTGCTGCACCAGTATTGCAGAGGTCAAGGGTTCAAATTCTGCACAAGCCTGAATTTTTTCAGGCTTTTTTTTCGCATCTGCAAAGGTTGCTTCTATAACTGTGATGATCTTCTTTCGTACAATTTAAAATTTTTGTTCCAATAAAAGATGTTTTTTGGACTCAAATTTATTTAACATGAACCACTTTATACGAACACCCCATTGATATTAGGGAGCTTAAGCAAAGGTGTTTTTAAGTGATGCATGTCAACCAGAAGTAAGGCCCTTTCCATTTTAACATACCTTGATTCTACCAAATTTGTCAAACCACTGCCCAAGAATGCATGAAGTCCACTACTGATTGGAATGCATCACTTAAAAACATCTTTGCATATAAGCTCACTACTGTCACTTTCTATAGTCCCCTTTTCAGCAGGTATTGTCTGTACAGTCGACTCTCTCTTAACGGACACCTCTACAAGACGGTCACCTCTACAAGACGGACACCTCTGTAAAATGGACACTTAGAGTTGGTCCCTGCCTTTCTTTACTCCCTTTATTTGACTCTCTATAAGATGGACACCTCTCTAAGACGGACACTTAGTGCTGGTCCCAAAGGTGTCTGTCTTAGAGAGACTTGACTTTATTTCAAAGTCTCTCTACACATAAATAATTGCACTATTACTAACTTAGAAAGTGTTTAGCACTGAAATATCAACACAGTTTGTTTATTATTTATATAAATGTCTGAACTCATTGAGCCTAATAGCCTCATGTCCCTTCAGAAGAGCCCACGTCCTCAACACCAACCTTAGTATCTTGTTCCGAATTCTGAACAGGCTTTTTATCCTTGTTTGACTCCATAATGGCCCTTTTCGGAGGCTTTTCATCTGCAGCCCCTTCATCTGCATTCTCAACAGGACCATAAACCTTCTGTTCCTGCTGGCTCCTGCCTCCTTGAACTGCAAGCTGAGCACTTTTCTGATGGTATTCACAGATTGTTTCCAAAAGATTTAAGATCTCAGTTTGCTTGTCATGAATGTCACCTTGCAATGGGGCATTGTCAACTGCTTCTCTTTGGTGTACAACATCGTTAATTTGTGCAACAGTTTCTCCCATGTTTCTAACCTGATTTTCTAGCTGTCGTAACTGGGCCTGGAAGTTACCAGGGATAGCTGGCACAGTAGTGAGTGTTACAAATGGTAACCTTACTTGTAATCCGCTCAGTGTGAACATGGCAATAACAATAATAATGATGACTGCAATAAAAACAAATGGCTGCCACTGAAGGGGGACTTCCCTAAACAATGCACGGAAACTTTTGCCTAGAGCCTCAGCGAGTTGCTCAAATGGCTGAGCAATAATAGTTGCGACTGTCGCAGATAATGCCTAGAAAATGTTAAAACAAAAAGGTGTCAACATAAATTCACATTAATAAGTAAATATAAATGTGATATTAATCCTAATAATTACTCAATCTTTCATTCACTATTTTGACTAGGGTGACTTGGCTTACCACAGTGACAAGGTTGACTCAGGGCTTATTCTAGAGTGCAACCTTGCTGGATTTCCGCAATTTGGAAAAAAGTGATGCATAAAATTTACCTTGCCACGTTTAATGGGGTGCAGAAAAATAGACCCAAGGATAAGTACTACTTTTTGGAAATAAAGTATTCGAAAACATCACTCGCAAAAACACTGATTTGACAGTCACTACACAAAATTATTTTGAAATTTTATGGCCTCTTACTGTCTCAACTGCCTTTCTCTTCTTCCTTTGAGTCATTATTTCACCAGACAAACATCTGGGATTCTGCAGTAATTGGAGCCCGGCCTTCAGTTACGCAGAATATTCCAAAATGGCTACAAAGCATCCAGGGAGTCCGAAACATGTACAATTTAAAAACTCTCGAAAAGCAGTCAGTTTCTTTGGATTTGGATGTACCAAAGAAGCTTTTCATTTACGTTAAAGCATTGGAGTCATGTTATCCTAATGTTCACTACTTGCAAATATGTGAATGATAATTCCAAAAAGCATTTGTTTTCTCATGGAATAGTCTGTACCAATCAGTTCAAATACCTTTTGAGAAACCACCTTTCTTCAACCTCTTCTCTTGAAAAAGGGTACCCTAAATTTACAGAAGGGGGCCCAGTTGATGCTCATTGGCCAATTTCTAGAATAAACCCTGGGTGACTTGCGTGACTATGATTACTTGTTTGACAGTGGTAAAAAGAGTGACATAGAACACAAGAGTAGTAACTGTCACCAAGGTAATTGGAAAGAGGGGGTGACTGGCATAATTAAGGTGATTAAGCCACTAAGGTGACTAGGGTGACTTGTGTAACTAGCATTGCAGTATTCTGTTTGGAGAATTTAATATGTCCACATTATTATTTTTGCTGATCAGGTCTTTAAAGATCCTACATTCTTCAGCATATTTGTTTGCGGTCCTTTGCAGTTCTTTTGTGGTCAATGTTTGTACTTTAATAATGTTTGGGCCGTAGATCTTTTATAGATCTAATATGCTGTAATTCTTGCATGGTTCTGTCCATGTTTTTGAGGTTGGTTTTGGCAAATTCTTTATTTGCCCTGTGAGACATCAACTTGACACTTGGATTCTTGCCCCCCAGAAGACACGTGGTATGCGTAAAACTGTGGGTGTTGAGAGTTCTGGGTCAGGGCTTGAAATCAGAGTGCGCAGATATTTTTCATCAGAGCTTTCTCTGGTTGTTGTGCCACACTGAAGAGCCCCAAAAAGGGCAAAAGGTGACCGATGTGACTCGGGTGGCAAAGGGTGACTAGGATAACTTAGGCGACTAAAGTGACTAGGCTGACTTGGGTAAAAAAGGTGACTTGGGTGACTAGGGTGACTTGGGTGACACCGTTAACAGAGGTGACTAGGGTAAGTAGGGTGAATAAAGTGACAAGATTAACTCGGGTCAGTAGGGATGACAAGCGATGACTGGGATGACGAGGGATGACTAGGGATGACTGCCATAACTAGGGATAACTGGGATGACTAGGGATGACTAGGGATGACAGGGATGACTAGGGATGACAATGGATGACTAGTAATGTTTAAGGATGACTAGGGATGACTAGGCATGACCGGGATGACTACGATACCTAGGGATGACTGGGATGACTAGGGATGACTAGGAATGACTAGGGATGACTAAGGATGACTAAGGATGACTAGACATGACTGGGATGACAAGGGATAACTAGGGATGACTGGGATGACTAGGGATGACTAAAGATGACTAGGGATGACTGGGATGACTAGGGATGACAAGGAATGACTAGGGATGACTAAGAATGACTAGGGATGACTGGGATGACTAGGATAACTAGGGATAACTAGGGATGACTAGACATGACTAGGGATGACTGGGATGACTACGGATGACTAGGGATGACTAAGGATGACTAGGGATGACTGGGATCACTAGGG